CCTTCAGAGTGGCCTTTCCAGACAAGTGCACAAACTGCTTTGGACTGATCAACTGGTCTTCATACTGCAGAAAACAGCATTACAACAGTTAGCACGCTATAGACTATGAGCTAATTTAAGTTATAAATCTGCAAAACAGGTTCTGTTATGCAATCAGTTAATGTTAGTCAACAGACTTGTGATAGCCACATGCTTAAGTTACCATTTTAGCATTTTAGCTAATGCTAGCATTTTAATTTATTTTTGTTTATATGTTGTTTGCATACTAGATAGAGCAAGTTAATATAAGTTAAAAGGATAGTAAGCAGCATTTAAGCTAACAGAATTTTAGCTAGTTTAGCTTAAAAAGTGAAGTATGCATACTGAACAGAATACGTTGATGAGATCCAACAGGACAGTATTTGCTAAAGCATGCATAGCCCACATGCTAACTTTAAAATTTTATCTCATTTTGGTGTCTGTAGAATTTTACAGCACTAGGCTTCAATATACCTTTACACATTTCACGTTGATTCCAGGGCACACAAATTTTTTCACCAGCAACACAGCTTTACAGTCCCCACAGGTTATAGGACAGCCAATTTCAACATCATCCCCCTCTGTCTGCTCTGTAGGAAAGAAACAAACTTTTAGAGACAAAAACATCAGTGCCATTTTTCCTGGATATTAATTATTTTGACAACCTCTCACCTGATTGAGCTTCTACAGCCATAACAGCTGCATCGGTTTCAGCTGACTCATCGCTACAAAAGAAAACAATTCACATATCTTCACTTAGGAACACAGTATCATAACCCACTTGTGCAGGTTGACAGCTTTAAGGCAGTCTATAGTTCAAAATGGGAAGGTAGATTTCGTAAGAATCCTGGTTATAGTACATACCCAGTGCTGATAGGCTGGAGCTGCAGGATGACCTGAGTCTTATTGGGGTCATCTGAATCACCTTCATCCTCGTTCTTCACCATCACCATGTCCCCCACAGACACCGTCACCTCATTTGTGTTTGCCATTGCTCTCACAACAGAACACTAAAGTGGGTGGCAGCATTTGTGCAACATCTGTAATGGAGGTACAGCATACAGTATTCATCCATGTTGAAATCCAGACTTTGGTCTTCAAGATGCTGGTTGTTCTCTGCTGTTGTCCACTCAGATTACATTACAAAGACAAGAACTCTGTGATACTGAGGTGGTTTCTGCAGGTAATAAAATGCAAAGCTACCAATTTAACCAAGCTTGAAGTTTTTTGCAAAAAAATTGAATCCGGTTTACTCAAATGTGCAAATTTATGAAACATTCTAACTCAAAGGTCTGCTGCTGCTTCCTCGACAAAGAGCTTTTTTAAAAAACAAAACAACATTACTTTGGGTTGGTCCTAAAAATGCTAATAAATACTGTGAAGTTTATGGTTGTAAGATGATAAAACTTTGAAAGGTTCAAGAAATATGAATATTACCGTATGCATGTATCTAAAATCTTCAAGTTCGATCAATAATTATCAAGAATGGTTAGCTTTTGAATGTTTATATTTGTTAAATATGGTGAAATTAACAGTAGTTCAAATTCGTATAAATGGATTGCTCCTAGGAATAATTCAACAACCTTGAATATCAAGTTGAGCCAATCAACATCCTAGTTAGCAAGGTCAAGTCTACTAGCTTTGTCAGCATCTTAAGTGTTCATGGTTTTCTGGGCTTTTTAAAGTTTTATTTGAAACCCTCTTTTTCCAGAAATAAAGGACAAAAATTCCAACAATTATTAGAACGTTTCATGTTCTAACTCATTTGTGTGTTTCCCCCTAATCTACACAGGCTAGTTTTAGGAATTTGGAGGCTGTTGGATCATTGTTCAATCCAACAGCCTCGCAGCATGATACTGCCACTCCCATGCAAGACAGCTGGTAGTGTTCTGAGGTTTGAAAGCTTCACGTTGACTCCTCCTATTTACTTTCACAAAGTCTGTGCCGCCTTTCCCTAAAACCGTCCTTTAGAAGATATTAGTTGTGTCGTTTGAGTAAATGGGTGAAGACTGTTTAATACTAAAAGCGTATTATTTCCTGAGTATAGCTTCATATTGTCCATGTAGTAGCTAAATAGCATCGTGTCCTTTGTCCTGCATTTGCCTTGAAAACTTTGATATGTCAGTTTGAACGCGGGTGGGTAGTGGGTTCTCCACGCGCAGCGGGGGGTGGGGGTTATAAAACCGCAGTTTAGCTCTAAATGAGGGGAAATGTAACAATTGTCGTTCAATCGCTCAGGCCACACGACACCTAAAGCTATCCGTTCTAGTTAAATATTAAGACTTGTATCTCCAGAAGTTGTCGGGCTGTCATCACCTCAAAAGAAAACCCAAATATGAGTCGTTTAGAACCACCGAGCAACACAGTCTCGGTTTGGTGGTAGCCATTACAGCTAATGCAGCAGCGTCGTTTCATATGTAGGAAGCTGGACAATACTACAGAACTCCACCGTCCGAGACGGGTAAACCTTTGCATTTAAAGTGTGACGGCTACGTGCCGCTTGTCTATGAACCGTACGTCCCCTCGTAACTCTGCATTTTAACTCTCCGCTCCCCCTCAAAATGACGTCTCCCTGTGCGGCGGCACGTACAGCAAACAACGGCACGGCGACGGCGGCGTTGCCCCTCCATTCTGCGCGAGGCTGGCTGACTGAACCCCTTCCGCGAGTTAAGCTAACCTCTGCGGCTAAAATCACCGTTTGTGTCGCTAGAACAATGTTACTCTGCAGTGATATATATTAAAATTCACATTGTGGAAAAAGGCCCGTCCTTACCGTTTTATGAAGACAAACACATCCCTAGATTGTGGGGAGCTTCGGCGCATGCGTACTTAACTGTTGTAGCCTTACTTCCTGCTAAACAGCGCTCGCCCTGTTTTAAGCTTACTTACGAGGCAAAAATGTCAGAAATTCACTTGATTAGACGGGACTAAACGACTCCCACAATATAACAAATTCATGCAATTGGACAGATTGTTAGATGTGGTGATCTGTTACGTTTTATACCCTTATTTACGGGGTTGTGTCACAGTCACACTACAGGTTCCGATCAAATCACTGGTTTCATACGCAACAGAAATAAACCTAAGTGTGTTATTACTGACGTCGTATGAAGTGAACCGTAGACCAGCATGAGCTGTTTCTTCACATATAATGCGGAGGCGCCGGAACGAACGGTTACCAGCAGCCTCAAATTTTAAAAATTTTGCTTCCGAAATCTCTTGATAGCGATTCCGCAAAGAGGATGAGACTCCCTCACCCTCCCTGTGTCAATCACGACAGAAGCCCTTTTTAAAAACTGAAATAGCGTTGACCACGTCTATATGATTACTGGGACTATCTGTTTCACTTAGAGTTTCAGAGTTACTGCTGACGTGAAACTATCTAGTCATGGAAATTAGTGGTGCCTCACAACGCTAATGAAATTACTAGTTGTCTGGTTTAATATTATGAAAAATGTTGATAGTATATCTATATTTTTTTATTTCTATAGCAAAGTAAACCACCCGAAAAGCATGATGGGTGAAGAAAGGGCGTGACACTTTTCACTCTTGATATGCTATTGGTTGTGTTCGGTCGACGCAACGTATAGATGAATTTATTTAAAAAATCTGTTAAAAAGTGACTATAGTCATGAAAGGGAATTTTCACAATTGTAGAAGCTGTTATGCTTTCACTCGTGTTAGTGGTTAAGAAATACAATAACTAAACAGGATCAAAAATGCTAACGTCTTAAAAGCCTTCAAATTTAACTTATTTTATTAGTTTACTTCGATTATGATAGGTGTGACCAGGTTTAAATATGAAAATAAATGTTCACTAAAATGCACTACACTGAGACTATTCCTCACTCACCCTCCACAGGAATAAACACAAAAATGTTTTCATAATAGTAGGAAGGAATACCATATTTGTGATCTGTGATTTAAGAAGTGATTCATAATCACTAATAAGCACAAATGGCCTCTATTTTTTTAATCCAATTCAGCACCAATTCTCAGACATTATACCATTCTAGTTTATAAAACAGCATGTTGTGAATGATTTGGGTTGAAAAAGTATGTTGAAACTGCGTATTTATTTTAACTGAGGTTACAGTGACTGTAAAATCTATTCACTTTCTTGAATGTTTTACCCATTGTGTTGCTTTCACAAATCAATTGTGAAAAATAAATCCTTTCATGTCAAAGTTAAAACAGATTTCTACATAACAAGGACCAACAAAAATATCAAATGAAATGTAATATAAAATAAGTGATTGCATCTATAAACATTTTTATTCACCCCTTTTATAGTGACTGCTCAAATTAATCGCAAGTTTTACTGAAAAAGAATAAAACCCAATATAATAATAGTAAGCAGGGCATGAAATCTGTCATTCACATAAAAAAAAAAAAGAAAAACAGCACAATGAATTGCTCTGGCCTCAGGCCAGAGATAAACAAGGAGTTTGTGGAGCTACAAAAATGAGAAATTCAGACCAAAACATCACTGTTCTACTTTATGTAAACCATAAGTGAATGATTTACATATGAAAAGGAAGGAGTTTAAAGCATGTTAGGTTAATTTGTGAAGAGAAATTTGAAAAATTTGTGGGCATTCAAAGCTGGTTGGGACACATCCCTAAAAGACTTGCAGCAGTAATTGTTTAGTATTGATGGTGTTGGATAATGCAAAAATTCCAATAGAATACATTACAGGTTGTGGTCATAATGTCACAAAAGTCTAGTTTTCACATCGAATGACTTATGCAATTTGTCCACTGGACAGGCTAAGTGGAAATTAAAAGGCAGTGCTGTAGCTACAACACATCACCCGTATATCTTGACTTGTAGACTGAGATGGATACCAGTATTGGGCAAGGTTAGGGTTTGGATTAGGCCACTCATGTTAACAAGTTCCAATAAAGACTGAAATGCAAACTCGTGTGTGTGAGTGTTGGTGATGGTGGGTGTAGGAGAACTACAAGTAACCAGTCCAAGTATGATATATTGAACATCTATTTATTTATTTATTCTTTCATCAGTCACTGAGATTACATCACCCCAAAAAAATCTTTAAGTGACAAATAAAAAAAAGTAAAGTCATGAATTCTAACCTCTGAGGAGTTTATGTGATTTATTTCCACTGGTGCATTTTCTTTATGAACAGTGATTTAGACCAAACAATTTGTACACCATAAAAGAACCTTAACATTTTCTCTTCTTCAAAGCCTTGTGCAAACTGGGAATAAAGTTTGGTGACAAATTAAAAAACATGTGATTATCACCAGAAATCATGTTTTCTGTGATACTCCTCACTAACAGCTGTACTAAACTAGCCTTAGCAAAATCTGACTGAGCCACTTTCTTGTTCTGACTTTCTAAACTTATTACTCAGCAAGTAGTTATACAGTTAATACTATTGCTGAATCTAAGATGATCTTAAAATAATTATGAATATGTATATGTAGCCTAATCAGATTAAAAATGAAGTGTGGTTCAAAACTTAACTGGCATGGCTGAGCAGATGCTGTTCCAACGTTTCTCCAGTACTCATCCTTGGGCTGAGCATAAAAACTGCTATCTGAGGCACACACCTATGAATGGCAACAATATTCTCCTATCACACTTCAAAGCCTAACATGCAGATTTCTGCAAAAACATAACTTATTTTTACACATTACCTGATAAGAGAAGCTGGGTTTGCAGTGGAAAGTGACAATGATTTGCATCGCCTGCATCGCACCTACTGCAGTAAATACGACTTGAGATGTTATTTTCAATTTTATTCTTAGTTGATTCCCATTGGTGGCTAATAAGGCATTTGATTAAAAAAATTGAGTCTTTCCGAAATAACATTTGATCGTTCTTCAAAGTGAAAAAGGCAGCCATCTTTATCTGCTTTGGGTAACAAATTGAACAGTTGGGTAAAGAAAGCAGTAGATTGAAATGATGGATTCAGTAAAGAATGGCAACATGTTTTTCATCATGTGCAGTTTATCCCTGCATAAAGGAGGAGACAAGGGAAAAGGTAACAACTGAGAAAAGTCAGAAATATTAATTTAAACGGAATCTATCAATGCAAAGAACCTGTGAAATAAAGTCTTCCTGTGCACTCAGAACATATCATACTGCATATAACATACATGAACAAAAATATATAGAACAGTGAATTTGAGTGTAAGAGTAAAAAATAAAGGGATGCTGCAGATGTATACTCGTCCTTATCTTACACTGTGCTATAACATATATTGTTTGGTGAATGAACTAAATATTCTATATTATAGAACAGAATAAAAGTCTGGCAATCTTGTGTTTGGTGGAGAAAGTTTAGTAGGTTGTGAAGACGAGTGAATTTCCAAGTTAAGAGTTCTGGGTCATCAGGCTGTTTGTTCAAAGCCTCTTTAGTCCAGAAGGAATTCTCAAACCTTGGAAGGCTGCATGTCATGTTTGCAGCTGCAGCTTTGTTGTAATTACATTTCACTCTTCACTGAATATGGCATTGTAGAAGGAAGAGTGCTGTTTAAATTAGTTATTAGTTTTGGGTCACTTTTAGGGGTGCACCAATTGCAGTTTTCTGGCTGATTACAGCTTGACAATCATTAAGAAACCTGACCTGGCCATTTAAATTTTGGCCAAAAAAGATTTTTCGTCTGAAATGTATAGAAGAAAATCGCTGATTTGGCAACGGTAGAGTTACTATTCTTAACTGCAGATATGCAGACATGAGCTAACAGGTTCACAATCCTGTTAACTTGCGAACCTGAATATATTTATGTTAATATGTCCTTTATTTAGAATAATTGGCTTATATTCACACCTTTTAGTACATGATCTGAGTTTGTGTCAAAGCTCAGAACGGTGTAAACCCACCCACAGACGATACCTAATCTCTACGATGTAAGATTTGACATTTTGTCAGCTTGAATGTTGTAAAATATGTGCTAATTTTATGATGATTGAAAGAAAAACTTAAAAAATAAGTAGAACAAGAAAAAGTTTTGTAGCCATGTAACAAGTGAGAGAAAACAAGTTTCATAGAGAGTGAGGAGTGGAGAAGCCTACTGAGAAATTCACCTACCAAGTAACACTGCCAGTGCCTCCATTTGGTAGGTTGAAGTTACTACAACTATAAAGCCATTCGCTTTCAACTGTGTGTTTCGGAAAGGGCTTAAAAGAGAATCTGGAGGAGGTTTTGTTTGAGTTACTTACTCTTGTATTTTTGTAAAATAAAAATGATTGAGAAATATTGCCAAAAAGTGTAACCTTCAGTTTTTCCCACTTGACACTGTGTGGGAACAAGGACACCAAACAAGTCTCACAGCGTCTCTCACAATTTCCTCATGATTCCAGTTTCCTTTCAAAGTCATCTGTGCAAATAAAACTGTTGGAGTTTTATCAATATTACCCTAAGTTAGTTAATGCTTACAGAAGAAACAAACAAAAAAATCAAAAATTATTTTCCTTTACCAATTTAAACAATTCTTAGTGAGACATGTATACTTCTAGTGTCCATCTTATTACTAGTGTTATTTACAGATGCCTCAAATGGAACCACTAAACTTCAGTACCATGGTCTGTCTGTATGTAAACATCTTAACCACAGATATTCTCAGATTCTGATGGTGTGCATCTATTTACAAGATGATTAAAGGTTCGAAATCAGTTTGGTGTTAGTGCACACAGTTTACAATAACAGGAGGAGCAGCACACCGATTTACACTTATTGCAGAATGCTGTGTCTCTTTACACTATTCACTCCAACAGCTTCCTGCGTTCTCTTTGCACACCATCTCTATAGTTTTTATAATCTACGAGAGTTACAACAGCATGTAGGCAAAACATTGCACAAACTTTGACAGGCAGACCTTACAATCATAAGTGCGTTTGCTCCTGTACTGAGAAGGGCATATGGCTAGGTTCTGTTTTTCACATTGGGTAAGGCTCTATGCTCCTGGTGTTATGCCTCACTATATAGATTCCAACTGCCAAAAAGACTGGAATGCCCATTTCCTTGCAATAATCCCAGCTCTTAGAGTGACCCAAACAAAGACAAGGGTACAAGTCACAAAGTAAGGAAGGAACAGTGGCTACATCACAGGGTTCTGATCCAGAGTGGTCTGGTTTCTATGGATGGCCGCAAGACAAAGTGAGATTTCAGTGCGATGGGACAGTTTATGAACACAAAGTATCAGCATTTAGCAGTGGCAGCCCTTCTCTGGGGAAGCAGTCGCAATTTCCTCTTCATCATCACCCGGGTAGAGGACCTTTGCAGTGAGGCCACTTTTAACGCCATCCCAGCCATCACGGGTAACAATCTCCCCCATCTTCATCAGCTCGAAGATATCTCTGGTCAGCAGCTCGAACGCCCGGTCCACATTGCTGTTGCACTTAGCCGATGTCTCGATGTAGCGAATTCCCAGATCGGCGGCAAGCTGCTCGGCCTCATCCCGGCTCACCTTGCGGTCCTTGTTGAGGTCGCTCTTGTGGCCGATGAGAATGTAGACCATGTGGTGGGGCAGGATGTGCTCGCTCACCTCCTTGTGCCATTCTCTCACATGGTCAAAGGTCTTGCGGTTGGTGAGGTCAAAGACTAGCAGCCCTCCAACAGAGTTGCGGTAGTATGATGTTGTGATGGACCTAGAGAAAAAGAAATGATTGATAAATCCATAACTCAGAACAAAGATATTCTTCGTCAAAGCAGAGCTTATGTATTGGTGTGCAGTAGAAAATTATTTACGGTGTTTCATTCCTAAAATGAGGGAAAGTAAGTCTGAGAAACTTATTTGAGGTAGAGGGTTTAGGGAAGTAAATTAAAAAAGTCTCATTGACTAGTAATAGACAAATCAAAGTTGTGCAGAATCCACTTCAATAGTTTCCGAAGCTCCATTTCTTCAGACACATATATTTCCTGCACTGGCAATCCTGCTTTTAGTGTAGGTCTGAGATTGATGTCTCTTTTGAGGTTCTCCAAACCAGTCAAGGACAATCCGATTCAAGGCTTAAATTCTTGTCAGATCAATAGTTGAGTCAGGTCTAGAGCTGGTTGAGATCAGTCCCTGTCTCGATATTTTACATAATCAGAGACAACCTGTATGTCAACTCATTTGATTTTGGAAGCCATTTTATAAGGTCTGAAAGAAAGTAATTTAACCAGCCTGTGTTGTGTGGGTTTCAAAGAACATTGATAATCAGCTTTGATAGAGACGGCATGATCTTACTGACAAACTATGACAAATTCAACCTCTACTTAGGTAATGTTCATTCAGTGGGGATAATAATCTATATTAATAAATACAATCTTACCCATACTGTCGGTTAATGGAGTTTTTTTTCTGCATGAAGGTTCTGTCAATGCTTTTTCTGAGAGGATTTTGTCTCTTTTTCCTTTCCACTTGTCTGAAACCAGCTCATTTATGTTTACTCCCAGTCGGTCGGAACAGATGCCCTCTCACACTGAGCCTGGTTCTGGTGCTGCTGGAGGTCTCTTCCTGTTAAAGGGAAGTTTTTCCTTTCCACTGTCACTACATATACATGGTCTGTATGTAGGATTGCTGCAGTCAATGACACAGTGCTACATGCTTGTTCAGGAGGAGTGAACGCTACAAGTCGATGATGCGACATAATCTGCTGAGTTTCCTTCAACAAAATTAATTTTACAAGTTTGAATAATAAACTGAACTTGATGACACTGATAACTAAGATCAGTTGAAATACAGTACTTGGCTTTTATTTTGACTGTATGATTGGATTGAATTGCCTTTACTTTATAAAGTACCTACTTCTACAATACTTCTTTTGAAATAAACAAAATCGAATAAAATCAACATTGAATGAGTCTTTTCTTTTTGATGTAAAATGAACATCCTCACGAATACTTTATGACCTTTAACCTTTCCTGATAATCAAGCCACAAAGCAAAAGTAATGTTGTGGTCGGAAAACAGAAAATGGAGAAAGAAACAGATTTCAACTGAGACCTCTCGATAATTCAGCAAGAAGAAAACTTGAAGGACTCAGAGACTCCAAGCACCACTACAGAGCGGACACACAATCAAATTGGGAGTGGATGTAGGATCTAAAGTTTCTACAGGTTGTTATGGAGACATGTTGATTTTAAGACACGGTCACTATGAGCAGCTATTAATACTAGGTAATTTGCTGCAAGCTTTTCCAGTTGGTTAAATTTTTAAAATAAAAACAACAAAAGCACATTCATGAGGTAAGAAGTTCTTAGCAGTGTGTAGATCAACTGGGGGAATGCCATCTGCTGTACCATCTGTACTGGCTGTCATGGTAACACTACATGTGGTATATGTGTGACGTCCCCAGAGTTTCATTATGGCATGTTCCAGCTCTCAACAGCTTCCTTGTCTGTATTCCTGATATAGCGATTACTTAGTCAGCATTTACAGAATTTAAGATGGCAGCAGATGTGCTACGCTAAATGCAACACTACTACAGTTCATAGTTTAAGAATGACATCAATAAATGGGCCTGATGGGAATAATGGGAAGAAGTGCAGCACAAACACTATGTTGGGACGCCGTCTGGATGAGACGCAACGTTAGCATCAGCCTGGTTACTGATTGGGAGACCAGAGAGTCAGAACCAAGCAGTGGTCTTCAACCTAATGATGAGCTCGGCAGATCTGGAGTTCCACTAGGTGTTGCTAATTGCTGCTGGCTAGTCTGAAGGAGCTGAGTGGGGGACTCGCTAGGAGGACTGCTCTGTGAGACAGAAACTCTGCAGCTCAGGGAAGGAATGAGCTGTAAAGGCGGAGCTAGGTCCACTCAGGCCTTTTGCACAGCTGAATGGTTGCCGTGGAGATTAAAGGATTTCTCAAACATGCATGAAAGGATCAAGGTAACATTCCCGGTATGTTTTTGATGATGGAATAAAATTATAGCATGATGTCAAAAACATCAGTTTTAAGTGATAATGTCCTTTTTAAATACAAATAAGATAGAAATACATCACTTTGGTGCAAAATGTCAAGCACAAAACTTAATATTTGGAAGCATTTCTTTCTGCTAACTCCTGCTTGTCCATAACTAAAACATCTATGTACCGTCAGCTTTTTAAGAGGACTGCACCCAGCTCTTCTGTTGCATAACCACACACTATCTACTGTGAAGAAGGAGAGCAGGGCTGGTGTATGAAAGCATTAGTCCTATAGCAGGACGACTATATTCACACCTTTTGATGTACAGGATGTGTGATGACCGGCTGAGGTCACAAGGCGAGCATGTTTACATGTTCACCAACCAATCAAAACGGCATCTGCTTTTAAAATTCACATCCAGACATTCTGGAAATATATTTTGATGAATTTGGGGACATAATTTAGAAAAAAAATAAAGATTTGTCTCTATAATTAGCGGGAGGGGAAAAAAATTGATGACATTTTTGTTTCTGGGCTGAACTTTGACAACAATTTATCACATTATAGCCAGAGATTTTTGTTTGTTTTATTTTGTTTTTTATGACACAGTGGAAGGAAAATAAGATGTAGTCTCAACATTCCTCTCAAATAAAAAACTTCTGAATTGTGTTTTGCCTTTGTACTCAGCCTTCCCAAGAGGAATCATCCTTTGAACTAACGCTCTGAGTTGTCTGTTTCCTGACTCTACCAGGAAGCAGACAAACCAAATTTCCGTTCAGTTTGATGACTGTGGGAGGCCAAGTTCACTCAGGTTTTGTTTTTGTCTGCAGAATGACCTTTGAACTGTCCCGTCTGAGAACTCTGGCTCAGCCAGATTGGAGAATAAAAATCTTTTTATTGGTGTTGCAACTAATGATTATGTTAGTAACTGATTACGCTAATAATTCATCAATTAACCAGATGAAAAATTTTTACATGTTGCAGTTTTTTTTTTTCATTTAGCCACTTCAGCCTTTTTTTTTTAAATAAAGGAATGCATGCAAAGATGCAAAGAAACAAATTCAATTTCTCTTTTTAAATAAGAAAAACTTTTTTGGGGGCTAAAAATGAATATAAGCATTCCTTTTGTAGCAAAAGATGCTACAAAACAATCAACATGTGAAAATCTCAGGCCTAACTGCTGGATAAGCCATACAGTATAGGGCTGACCTGAGGATTATATTTCTATTAACTGATGAATAATTGCACAGCAAAAGGTGCTTAATATGGGATTTTGTATGTTTGTTTTACAGAATTGGAGGTGAAGCTTAAACTGTCAGATGAAGAATTCCGGGAAACTGACAGCATTAATTCTGTTTTTTTTTTTTTTTTTTTTTTTGGGTAAACTACATTACAAGAAAAAAACAAACAAAAACAAAACAAGAAAAAAAAAAGGAAAAAAAAAAACAGAGTGGAATCCTTGAGCGCAGTGAAGCCTGATGGGAAACACCTTCAAAAGGAAAAGCAGATCTAAGAGCCGAGCTGCTTAAAGTCATTTCTGTCCGACAGCCCAGCAAGCATCACAAGCAGCAACAGCTGCTGACTGCTACACTAGTTACACAAATCTAGATTAGCTCGGACTCTGGCGTTGCCCTGGAGACCGTGGGACGGGATGATGGGGATTCAACCCGCGGCCTTAATAAGCGTAGACTCCCCATCATCCGCTGCCGTTCCCCCGGCCGGGCCGTCTGTCCTCACAGCCTCGTTACGATTCTCCACACCGAGGCAGAGGGACGGATCTGGGCGAAACCATGAGCGCACAGGGCGAGCTGCCACGCACAGGCCCGCATTAACCTAAACCTGGCTCATGATGGCTGCTGCTGCGTCGCGGCTCAGCATTCACGTCAGATCTGATCCCCGTCGTACCTGAACCGCTCCTGTCCGGCCGTGTCCCAGAGCTGCAGCTTGATTTTCACCCCGGGCTCGATGTCCAGCGAGCGGGCGTAGAAATCCACCCCGACCGTGGGATCCGCCACGTCGCTGTAAATCCCGTCCGTGAAGCGCTTCAGCAGCGACGACTTGCCCACGGTGGAGTCCCCCAGCAGGATGATTCGGAACTGGTATTGCCACAAAGTATCCATGGCATGACTAGAGGCAGAGATGCGGCGGTGGAGGAGGTGTTGTGTGTGTGTGTGTAAGTGAGTGAGTGTGTGTGTGTAGGGTGGGGGGATGCTGGGTGGGAAACAAAGCCGTGTGTTTTCCACGGAGCCCCGCTTGCTGCTGTTGCTGCTGCTGCTGCTGAGCGGTCGCAGCAATCATGTGACGGCTTCACCTCTGCTCCACTCCACACACACAGACCGGAAACTGGAGCAGGGACGGAACGGGCCAGGCGGCTTGTTAACAAAGCGTTTTAGTGGAGTATTAACCAGCTGCAGCCGTTATGTGGAGCCTGTAGCATGATGCTAACACAGCTTTATCTTTATTCCCCTCCGCTGGGAAACCAAAGGTCTGAGCGCAGAGCCGGAGCTGTCCGCGGTCCTGATCACTGATGTCACCCCCAGATCAAAACTGCTGCGGTGGTCACGTGGTGATCGAAACATTATTGGCGATAAAAGTTGCCGATACCTTATACTGCTTTGTTTAATTCTTTGGAAAGTCCAGTTTCTGTTGGTCAGTTGGAGGAAGTCTGGAACCAGCAGGACTTTTCCTGGAGCCGCTGCCTTCTGAACTGAGCCATCAGTTTAGAAGACGCTGATGGCTCAGTGGAATGCTGATATTCATTTTTAGTTAAATTTGATTTAATTTTTCATTTGATTAAAACAAAAACGTTTTTTTTTTCTGTGAGCCCTTCAGCTCAGAGCAGAAGGGAGGAGACCAAGAGCCTGATGGTCACTCTGTCAGAGCTGCAGAGTTCCACTGTGGAGAGAGGAGAAGCGTCCAGAAGGACAACATGTTCTGTGGACGGAGAGGCAGTCCTTCATAACAGCATCAACGCAACCAGTCTGGAGTTCATCAAGCGGCACCTGAAGGATCTCAGACCAGGACAAACAAGATTCTCTGGTCTGATGAGACAAAGGTTGAATTGTCTGGTGTGAAACACCCTGAATGAAAACCCGCTGCGGAGCGCATTGACCTCAGACCCCAAAGCACATGATCTCCACTTCTGAAAAGCTTCAGAACCAAACTGTGAATGTCCTAGAGGGACCAAACCAGAGTCCAGACATTGATCTGATTAGACATCTCAGGAGAGAGGTGAACATGGCTGACAGACGTCTCCATCCAACCTGATGGAGAAGAATGGAGTAAACTGCCTGAAGAGAGGACGGCTGAGCTGGAGGCTGAATATTGATTTGAACTTAGTAGTAGATCAAGTCTACAAGAATTGCCAGATTCTAATAGAACTTGACTATCTGACAGCTTTAGCTTTGTTTATTCCCCTAATACTGTCAACAACTAACATTATAAGTTAATTCAACTGCTGCAAGTATTCTTCTTCAGCAGGTACCTTCAGGAAGACAACTATTCGATGCATTCAAAGAAAAACACGTATCCCATAATGCCTCTGGGTCATGTGACCTACGAAGGCCAATCGGTTAGAGACTACAGCTTGTATAAAAGCAGAGGAGGTGGCGCATTTCCTTCTCTTTCTTTGAGATCCTCCCGAAAGTAGAAGTGAAGAAATGATAACAGAAGAAATAGCGGTTCTGTAGATCTGGTAAGACCTCGAGTTTAGCTAACATTATGCTGAACCTTAAAAAGCAACTAGTTGTGTTTAATTGTTGAGCTTAGGCTATTAGCTAATGAGCAAGCCAGGTAGAGCTAGCAGAAGAGGCTACCTCACTGGTTGCAGAGTGTGTTATTTTTAAGATTTATTTTCATCTGTATTTATAAATATCGCTGTCGAGGTCTGAACATAGTTTGAAACGTGTTTAGCGTAGCTAATTTAAAGTTAGCTATAGCATGACTGCTAACTTTGACCCACGTGCTCCGGCCTGCTCATTCCTCACGCGAGGACTTGTCGCGCAACAACCAAATCAGTTTACAGGTTCCGGTACCCGACTAAAACCCCTCATTCATTACCAATCCTCAGTACACCTTGAGTTTAAGTCGTTAAATGTAAGGTTTATCTGTAGTGTTGCTGTAATCGTCTGGATTAGCATGTGGAACCGGCCTCATGTAACTGTTGTTGTGCTCTACCTGCAGCTTGCAGTCTTTGGCGTCTCTGCAGTTATGGATCTGGACCCTAGACGCAGGTACGTTCTGCACGGCAGCCGCTCATCCCAATCCAACAGTCAGGCTCCTATCGAAGCCGGTCATGCTCTGCTGTAGCAGTGGCCGGTCAACAGGAAGCCCAGATGAAATCTTTCACCGACGGTCGCTGATCAGTTGAATAGTAACTGCTCCAGCAACATTTAGGGAAAGGACATCTGGTCTCTGTAGAGGTCAGATTATGACGTCATGTTTCCGTTCTGATCAGGTCAGGGTCAGCGCTGGAGGAACCACGTGCAGGTCCAGGTGAGCCCCAGAACCAGCTGCTCTGGCTGACGGTCCAGGCTGTGATGATAAACTTGCCCTCACTGATTATTGATCTGACTGAGTTTTTGTTTACTGAGCCTTAAGTCTCGTCAAACGCATGGAAGTGTGATTTATTCAAAAGCTGACCTAAGTGTTTGTGTTTAGGTGACGAACCTGGCTGATGCAAACATGAGCTGGATGGAGACTGTACAGATCCAGGTAATGCTCCTCACCTCTGCAGCCATTGGCTAACAGCAGCATGCTATCCTAAGGATCTGAGCTGCCTGTGGCTCATGGTTCTCCAAATGCATGCAAGAGTATGGGGCGGTCTTTGACTGCTGAGGCCCCTCTGCCTCCAGCAGCCACTCAACCATCCTACAGGTCAGCAGACAGGTCAGAACCACTGACTCTTCATTGTTCTTTTTCAGAAGGGATAAATGTTGGCGTCCAGGTTGACTGGGAAGTGAGTGCTGGCTCTGCCCTCTAAAGGTATGAACCAAACACTGCTGTAATGTCTGGTCTATGATGACTCTAAAGTGAGCAGACTGCTGGATGAAGCTTGCGGATATGGGACTGAGATCAGACTTAATATTTAGTGTATTTAGATGATTATCAAAATTAAAAATGTCTCTTGTTTCAGATGTTGGTGTGAGAAGATCACCATGGAGACCAGCTGCAGGCCAGGAGTACAGAAAGCTGCTGCTGCTTTATTTGTGCAAAGAATCTGTGACAAACAGTGAAATTGATGCTATGAAACTGTCAGCTGTTGGGTTGGAATAAAAACCACTGAAAATACTTGATGTTTCTGTTTATTTGATTTTCTACATGCTTTAAAAATGTACAGAAACATGAGGCAATATTTACAGTAAGGCCACAGGAGAACAGGTGAACCACTCCATTACTGGATGAGTACTGGAGTGGTTCATGACTGGCTCATACAGAGTTCACACTAAAAGCAGCTGGCACGGCACAGCCAGTATTGAAGTTGATGCAGAATCAGTAAATGGTGGGAATCTCAGATATTTCAGAGTCTGGGGTGCTGCTGCCACTCCGGTCACTGTACACATCCCTGGAAATGACACACTTTCAGATTGCAAGCTTTTTTTTTTTTTTTTTTTCACACAATGAGCAGAAAAGCTGTGGGGTTACCGTGGAGACAGCCGGCAGCCTTTCTGTAGATAACCCTGGAGCTTCCCTGCAGCTGCCAGCAGCAGGCCCAGGTAAGGAGGAGACGGCTTGATGGGCCGAGACGTAAACTCTGGGTGGTACTGCACTCCAACGAAGTACGGGTGATCTGGAAGACTGAATCCTTTAGAATCTGGAACCAGACAGCTAGAACCGAGCCAACAGGTTTTTGGTCTTACCGTCGAGTTCTATGATCTCCATCCGCTCTCCTTCCACATCTTGTCCAACGAAGCGGAAGCCTTTGTCTTCAAAGTGACTCTTAAGTTCAGGGTTTACCTTAAAAGAAGACAGTGTAATGTCAAATGAAACTAATGTGCAATTTAAGTGCTTATTTGAATATCACTTCACTATTCCGTTTATAGACAATGTTGCCAGATTGGGCAAGTTTCCACCTGACTATTGAGATTGCTCTGAGTGTGCAATCTCAACGTTCAATGACAAGTCGCATTTCATCAGACTAAGCCAGACATGGTAAATGATGGCTGAAAATTACGCAAGTACGAAAGCAATCAGTCAGTGAAGCATTTCACAATCCATCCACTCCTGGCTCCAACTCCACATCTCTACAGAAGTTTGAGGCAGTGCTCTATAAAAGTCCATTGCCTGTATTTTCTTTATGTTGTGAGAATACAGTTATCTGAATAATTAAAACTGATCCATAAAAGGCACCTTCCAACATCACTTCCATATTAAGTGTGTCGTCTACAATCTTCTACACACGTAGGTTGCTTTGAGGTCACGAACTGTTCAAGCATAAATCTGACTGCGGTTGAATTGAGGCAGCTGCATGAACAGCTATGAAAAAAATTATATAAAAAATCTGAAATGAGCATCAAGATCTTTTTACACATGAAAGCAGGATTTCCCCCAGAAAACTAGATAAGCCTGGTGGTCGGGGCGCCAATGTGGTCCACCGTGTTTTTATACTAAAAGATGTTAAGTAAACAGGAAAAGTAAAAATATTACTGTGTAATAATATGTAACTGGAAGACATCGCCAGTGTAACAATATTTAAACCCACATTTGATAGTCTTAAAAACAACAAATCCAGTAACATTTAGCACATACTGTAGGGTTGCTATAATATCCAAGTTAATGTATTGTAAATTGTTCTATTATTGTTTATTTGGTAAAACAGAGTTTGTTTGCATGAGAAAGTGCACAGTGTTCATTGTTGAAAATGTCTGGCCTGTGGACTTTGTAGTGTTAAAATAGTGTGTGAAATTTACAATAAATCTGGCTGAGCAAAAGTATGAGAGTATGAGGAAGGGACATGTGTGCCCATGCATATGATGTGGCTCTTTGCGGTAACTTGGTAAAAAATGTGGCTCTTGGTCTTTGTCTGGTTGGCCACCCCTGGTCTCGTTTATGTGACGAGTTTCTCAGATCTCCGCGCACATTAACTCTGTCTGACTAAGCGGACAAAACATTTGATATGGTTCGACGTTTCATACCGGAAAAAAAATTACACTAAAAATAATAACAAAATAATATAAAACCAGCATGATTTTATATTATGCTAAAGAAGAAACAAAAAAAAGACTTGGTATGGTAAAACTGCTATGTTTTTACCTCAAAGCGATGTCTGTGCCTCTCCTCCACATATTCTGCATCTCCATAAAGTTTCCCTAGAAGACAGAGCAGTCATTAGCAACAGCAGCAATAATCAACAACCTGACAGTGAGCAATTAGAGGCTCCCTACGCATAATGCTGTTGCTGGTTTTGAAAACGGTCCGCCTCTTCCCCAGCCTCATGGTTCCGCCCATCTGCCCTGGGTTATGCTCTGGCATGTCGATTACCTGGCAACATGACAGCCAACAATTAGTCTAATCCACAGGAGGCGAAGCAGCCAGAGATTACTGCTGAACGGGAGGAAGACCCACCACATTATGCTTTGTCTCTGGGTCGAACTCAGTGGAGTTAGCATCTACAAGTCACACAGAATGAGAGCTTATGGATGGTTGGTTAAAAGTTTGACTTTGTAAAACGTGACACCACCAGTCATACCTGGCCAGCCCAGCACGTTCCTGGCATATTCACACACAGCCAGCTGCATTCCAAGACAGACCCCTGCAGAGGAACAACCAGTCAGTCAGAGATCAACATGTTTTATTCTAATGAATCGGTGAAATAGTGTACAGTGAACAGTCACTGCGTTGGACTGTCAGTCAGTGACTCTCACCTAGGAAGGGTTTCCTCTGCTTCCTTGCCCAGTTGATGGCGTGAATCTTCCCCTCAGTTCCTCTAACACCGAAACCCCCCGGAACAAGGACGCCACTAAACACAGGAGGACGTTAAATGTGTGTCCTTTAAACTTGGAAGCTGCATGCACTGCACGTAATACAGGAAACTCACTCAGCGCTGCAGAGTTTCTGCCATGCATCATGGTACTTCACTGGTTCCTCCTGCAGGGTGGCCGGCTCCAGAGACGCCGAATCGATGTACTGAAAACACGAGGCACCATTTAGACAACAGTCAAGTCTGGGCTTGCCATATCAGGGGCAACGATGAGGGGCAGTGTGAGATGTTTGACAGCAGGCTCTAGGAAAATCCAGTTCAATCAAATACACTTTATTTGATTTGACTTTTTATCCTATATCAATTCCAACAAACTTGGAGCCGAAATGGGGCCCCATGTTTACCTCAACATCAACCTGATGCTGCATTCCAGATGTAGTCAGAACTGGGATGATCAACCTGATTTTCCAGTCGGAACGTGGGAGAAACTCTTACTGTAACCAGATAGGAGTTGTAAGGCTGACCGCTCCTAGCATCAACAGTAGCTAGCTGAGTGGAAAAATGTTTATTTTATAAGACACACAAGTAAAAGTGTGTCTATATTCAGTGTGATTGATATGAAGCACATGCAACTCTAAACTGAACAGATTAAAAAAATAGTGTTTGCTGATGGAAAGTAAAGCTTAAAATGATATTTCTAAGAGGTATTGCGGACAATTTATGTTGATAAGCTTCGGCCATGTTAAAATTCAGACTGTGCTGTGACCTCAAGTCTGACATCAAACCCAACGAAGCTAGAACTCTGCGCTTTGTTCCAACTTCGAAGCTCAGAGTCAGACTTGAAGAATCTCTTTTTCAGGGATAAATGTGCTTGGTCCGCTTCCTAGGGGTCTTGGGATCCAAATGCCTAAATCCTTTTTGGCGTTCACAGTGGGTGCATATCTTAAACAAGTCTGTCACTGCGATTGAATTATTCTCCACGGTTTCTGACAGTCCGATGGCGTGCCTCATTTTGTTTCCTCCATTTTCCCTCTACTTCTTTCCACGGAGCATGAGAATTTAAAAAATAAACAGTGACAGTGATGAACAGTCACTGCGTTGGAACGCAGCACAGGAATGAGAGGAAACTTTTCTGACTAAAGATTAAACTATCCCCACTAATATGGCGATAGTTTATTTGAATACAATACGCTTCACGATATCCATGTATTTGAGCTACTCAGTGCAAACATCCAACTTTAAGTGAACACATCAGCCTAATGTGACGACTGAAACTCCTGACCGGTTCACAGTGGGAGTGAACACACCTTAACCTCCAGTTTGTGGCTGATGGCCAGAGCAGAATGTTCCAGAGCCTTTATAACTGAAGCGTAGGAATCTGAGAACTTGATGTACTTCCCCACCAGAGCTATGGAGCAATGCTCCAGCAGTCTGTCAGACCTGCAACCACAACCACACCATCAGTATCAGCTCAACACCTGACTCTCTGAAGAACGGTGACCAATATTCCTCCAGAAGCTCTCACTGCCCACCTGTCTGACATCTCCTTCCACTTGGTGAGCATGGTCCTGGTCTTGGTCTCGATGGGCATATTGAGTCGGCTGCTCAGGTAGCCCACCACGCCCTGATCCTCCAGCAGAAGGGGGACTCTGTAAATGGACGAGACGTCATGGACGCAGATGACCTGCAGAGAAGGGGGAGGTTTAGAACCACAGCAGAACATAGAGACTCAGACTGCAGCACTCCACCAACCTGCTGAGGCTCTACGTGGCAGAACATGGAGATCTTCTCTTTCACTGAATTCTCCAGAGCCGTGGTGCAACGGCACATGATCTGGAAGAGGTGGGACAACAGAGATGAGATGGGATGTCCTCAGAAAGGCTAAAACTACAAATGGATGCTCGAAAAGCTCATCCAGAGCTGGTACAGTCACACTGGTTGACCTTTTATCTCTAAAACATCTCATTTACAGCTGTGTCAGTGTTGGACCTGCTGGTTTTGCTCTGATAAAATAACTTTGAAGAATCTGCTGCCATCCTGAATCAGCACCGCTGGTCTACAACGCTTCAACTGGTCTACAACGCTTCAACTGCTCATGTGACAGTTGGAGGTTTCAGCCATGGAACATTATGAACATTTGCAGCTGTGTCTCAATGGGCATGTTGCTCTTTGACATAGACACAAGGCAATAAACCCATTTTAGAGATTAATTGCTATTTGTAGGAATTAGATTTTTAGTGAAAATAGATTTTTGCATTACAATCCATCAAGCTGGAGTGCTGGGAGTCAATCCACCAATCAACCCAACATTCTGACTTATCCTTGTAGCTCATAGCTTTGACATCATTGAACTTAAACGACAAAATTGGTG